GCTGGGATTAAAGGTGTGTGCCACCACTGCCCAGCTTCTGCTATGGCTTGCTATTAGCTCTGACCCCCAGGCAACTTTATTTATTAACATACCAATAAAATCACATTTCAGTACAAATAAAATATCACCATATTCCTCTCAGTTTCTCTTGTGTCTTTGTGAGTGAGTGTATGTCTGTCCGCTTGTCTGTCTGTGTTAGTAACCACCTTGTATGTGATGACAGGGGAAGAGGCTCACACATTCCATCTCTCCCATCTTTTCCTTTCTCTTTCCATTCTTCAACAGAAGACAGTTAAATGCAATACTGACCCAAGACAAAACATTCTAGAAGTAACAAGACAGCTTGGGGAAAGTTGGTTTGCAACTAGCCATCAGCTTACATCATTGCAGACCCTCTGCCTATTCCGCAGTGCTTCAGCTTTCAGCCTACTCCCTCCCATCATGGGTGACTTGCTCATCCTCCGGGAAACCTGGTCTTGGCTCACACCTCCAGTGCACAAGCTTCAGAATGTTCTGGAGGTGTGGACATGCTCCAGTTGCTGCCTACTCACTCTGAGTCAGTATTAAATGCCTCATTTTGCAGCTCAGGAGACGAGCCTCAGGTTTATGGTCAGACCTCATCTCAAGAGCACCTAGCTAGTCAGTTAATCAAGATCTTCTGGATGTTATATCCAGATATTTATATTACACTAGAGCTGCCTCTGAAGGCCTTCTGAAGTTTGAACATTGCAGTTTGGCATTTTAGCATCCAGAATAAAACATTGACTGTCATCTGCTAGTTCGAAGAACCCACATGTTGTGTCTCCTGTGGAATATTCTTCTTATACATACTTACTTTTCATTGTCATATTTGTAGTTTTTCCTGAGAATTCTCTATCACTCTTCTGTCCCAGCTTGTAGGTAGGCATGTATCTACAGCTTCATTTATATGGGTAAAGGGTCCTTTCTACCATCTCTGCAATGAAGTAGAAAAGGAAAATCTATTCCTCCTCAGTTCTACAGAACTACCCAGGTTGGGGGCAAGGCTAGTACCACCCAGTATTCTGCTGCTCAAGGAAACATCCAGAAATGAGAGACCACACAAAACAAGTGGAAGAATGGGGGTCTCTGGTGGGCCAGTTGGTTTTTACTTACCTTATCTTTGTGGGAAGGAACTTGAGAGTGGCTGATCGTTGTAAAGTAGTCTGGACGGAAGGAAACTGAAACACTTTCCAAGGAAGAATATTGTTTTCCAGGACCAAGAAGCTGAGAGGTGGATTGAGGTCACTACTTTTTGAATAAGCATGTACCTGAAGATGCTTTCTGGAAGAATCCCATGCCTTCTTCTTAGTTTGCCTTAACCTCACACATGGACACAATAGACTAGAAAACAGAGTACTTATTCCAAAAAGACATAAGCCTTGTGGGTAAGAATGCACATCTACCTCAGTTAAATTGTGACTGATTGTCCAAATCCTACTATGATTATCAACTGTAAAGTACTGAACTAGCCATAATAACCATGAACAAAAACCCTGATTCTACTCATTATGTGTTCGTTCTTTACAACAACAATAGCTATTTTCATTAAATCTTTGGTGCATTCAGGAGGTGGCCCTGCATTGTAACTTTCACATCACCTTCCATGGATTATGGAGTCTCATGAACTTTTGCTTTATAGATAATAGTTCTTGGAAAGCACACATAATATACACATATACTTTTAGTGTCACAGAAAATTATCAGCATCATTCTGTGTGACTTTTAAAGTATGCAACATACTCTTTCTAAATATTTCTGCTGTGAGGAAAGAAATATAGAAGAACTGCTACAAAAATATAATATAAATTCTTCTTGTGATGATTTTTATGGACTATGTAAAAACTCAGGATACATAAGAGAACCAGAAGAGTACTTGGGACAACTGAAACAATTTCCATTTGAGGTTTGTGTACTTCAGTCAACAGAGGTAGATAGAGAGGCTGTGTCCAGTATTAAGAAGAAAGTTTCAGTACTCCTAGTACTAAGGCAGGAGGCTCTCCAGTTTGAAGACAGCCTGGGAAACATAGTAAGACCCAGGTCAGAGAGAAAGGTGAGGTGGGGGTGTCAGGAAAAAGGAAGGTAATGTGAGGAAGTGGAAACCCTGTGTCTCCAATGTGGATCTGGCTGACTGGAGGAAGACAGTGCACAGCAAACACCTGGGCAAGACACAGCAAACACCTAGGCAAGAGATGCAAATGCCCATAGCAATGTTAAGAAAGGACATGTTTTGCATCAGAACATTGACCTTTGATCCTGAAAGGTCCTTTCTGCATCTCATGAACTCCTACTACAAGTCAGAGGCAAGGATGCCAGTCCCCACTCAGATCCCTAGAAGGCTACAGCATCCTACCCCTGCCTTTTCCATCTGCA